TTTACCAATGGAAAATGATTTAATCGTTTTGAGTGTATTAACCTAATTATTTGCCGTCGACAATCTGAATTCTAAAAACGTATACCGCTTGAGTCGTTTATAGGCCCGTAAATCGTTTAACTTATGTTGTCTTAACATATTAACCCATTAGAATTTTCTGGGAGCTAAACTGTATAGTGTAGTCATTATATTAAATGTATACACTCAATATTATAGACGGCACAAAAAACGAGTTCTCAAGTTTTGTAATAAAATTTTGACACTTCAATACTATTACTGTGATTATAATCACGGTATTCGACTGGGGGCGATGAAGTCTCGAAAATGACTTTCGATTTTGAGCTAACGAAAAAATCCTTCTTCGACGCTATCACACGATTATCGTTTTTTATTTTTTCTGTCGTTCTAGAGACAGTTGGTGACCGTTTATTTGAACTGCTGTGCCGCGTTCAGAACATATAATAATATATAAACGAGGATGTTTATGCGAATGACGTAGAGAGAAAATTACGCACAGTCTATATTTGTGTACGAGTATAAAAAAAACTTAACTATTTCAGGGTACATAATATATTATATATATAATACACCCGCAGAATAGTATAAATTTTTTTTATACACTCGCGTGACCTCTTTCGTCAAGATTTATATTTACAGCCACAACGGGCTATAGTCACCGACAAATTTTCACAGAGACATTCATCCTATATATGCTTATGAAGTTGGGTATATATTAATGTGAGCGTGTGTATGTACAGGGTGATTAACCACATTTTTTGGTCACCCCCGTTTTTTAAATTTAATAATGAATTTAATCAAAATCTGATTTTAGGAACTATGAAGACCATATTTTCAAATTCTTAAGATATTTTTGTACCTATTAAGGTAATATCTTATATTTTTCAAACATCGTATTTTTACCATGAATTATTTAGTTGATTATTATTTTTAAAATGTTGATGTTTCCAATTCGAAATTTGAATATATAGTTTTTCATTTACATATTAATAATTATAAATATTGATAGATTCATATAATTTATTAAAATTTTCAAATTACCATAATTCTCATATCTTCTCAGCTCACTCTCGTGAACCTATTATCTTTAGAATGAATAATGTTAAACAATTCAAAAACTATTAATTTGAATTTTAATTTTAATACGTTGAAATTTTCAGATAAAAATATCTTCTAAATTATTTACAGTAGAAAATATATAATTTTCATTTGAAAAACGAAAGTTAATATTTTAACAAGTCACTATAAATAGAAAAAAAAATTTCAATAATTTTAAAATATGCTCTTTCAGCATATTTTAATGAATCACTCCGTGTATCTCGTACACTTAATTTAGAGTACGCATTTACAATTTCAACTGTTATTATTATTATTGTTATTAATTTGTTTTTCAAACCTAACCAACGGGACATTAATTTTGCGATGTCCACGAGTACAGATTACCTGCTTGACGCCAACGCGCGACGATGACGCATGTATAGAAGTAGTTTAATTAATTATATATTTTATCGAACGAAATAATTTTCTCTTTCTATAGTATGTCGCACAGCAATATATTGCCAAATCTAATATGTATCTAAAATATTAACTATATTTTATATTGTAATAACTTATTAACATTATCTTTACGGTTAAATTAAATTAGGTTACTTTAGGACCCGTAGACTAACGGCTCGTTATAATCCACTTTTTACTTTTATCTAGGGTTTTGAATTGACATATTTTTTCTTTTAATCCAAATAATTCGAAATTCAATTACATACATAGCTTTGCTCATACTTAAATAAATAAAACAGCTTTTATTTTGATTGAAATATGCAAAATACCTTGCTTTTTTATAAATAATTATATATTTAAAAATTCTGTCGTATTTTAATTCAGAATAAATCAATAATTTTAAAGCAAAGACAAAATTAATTATCAGTAAATTCAATTTCCAACACTACCTACATATATTCATATAAATAAAATATCGTGCATAAATTCGTAGGTAAGTCTTTCACCAACCACCAGTTGTGCGGCGTCGGCCACCCAGGTCTCCAAGTCATAGTACTTACGAAATGGAATCATTTCCCACTTATATAATAATTTTTCCGGGCTTAAATTATAATCCATAATCATTCTTTGTCTAAAATAAAAGCAATAAATATTTAAAATTTAAACAGCATAGGACACGTACGCAGTACAGTCATAGTTTTGTATTATATGGTTAAATATTTTTAGACCTTTACACAAACATTTAATATCGTACTTCTTACAGAACACGATTTCATTTTGGAATAAGATATAATTCGATCCACATAATGTGTGTTTGTTTAGCGCGAATAATAATGTACTTTTAGAGTATGCAATAAGTGATACCTACAACCAGCTATACTCGATTCGCGACCAAACCAGAAACAGACCGTTACGTACACACTACGTGCATACAATATTACATAGGGTATTGTGCACATAGTACACGTATGTAACGTTCCACATACACTGCAATATTGTTAGTTGATATAATAGTAAGTGTGTACATAATGCACATAATATATTTTACACAGAAAAAAAAAATCGACCCTTAGAACATATGTCTTTTCACCTCCGTCACCGAAGCGCTACCTCCGTATACCTAGCCTGTGTGTATATATTGGCGTCGCAGTGCCCGCGAATATAATAGGACCTAACCTAATCCTACGACGTGGCGTACATAGTAATGTATATACATTTATGTGCATATCGGTATATATGTATATAAATATAACCATGATAACAGTGTATCTATTATACGCGTCACTGCACTGCCGCTATTACTGTACCTACGGTATATTAATGTGTTCCTCGACTGCAGTTCTCTTTGGTCATCGCGCCCTTTCCTGTTGCTCAGTAGATTTTCCGTATATCTAAATACATATTGTATATTATTATTTAGGTATTATGTTATTATAATAGTCCCCGCGTAACGATATGCGAATACTTTATTTACTTATACAGCGCGGTTTGACATGATAGCATTGTAACAAGGCGCGACTAGTGTTATATATAGTATACATGTGCAGTATTATTATTATTGCGTATTCGTATAATATAATATTATATTATGTGTATACACATATTATTAATAATATAAAACACGAAATAAACTGGGGTCAAGAAAAACACAAGTGTTATCGTTATTTATATGTAGTTTCGATAGTGAAAAACAGTTAAGAATAATATATGGTCATATAAAAATATAATATGTACATTATATTCAACATTTCAACCCCTATCTGTATAACTATAATGTTATATATATATATATACAGAGTGATTCGCCAAACACGCTCACCCCCTTTCTCTTCTTCATTAATTCAGTTATTCGAAATCAGAGGAACTTAATGCCATATTTGAGATTTTTCATACTATTTACTAAAATAAATAGATCCAAGATAAAGAAATTAAAAGAAATAAGAACCTTGGTGACTTATAAATTTTAGAATCAATATTAATTAGTTATATTAAAATCTATTTGCATTTATAATTTGTAACAATGATCCGAGACGTATAATAAACACTAATTCAATTATCATTTTTATTTTTAAGTACCTATATTTAAAAATTCTATAGATCCTGTTTTGAATAAATTCATTATTATTTATTACATTTAAAAAAATTGAGCTAAGTATGTTCGGTGAATCATCACGTACACAACTTTTAAGACACATGTGTAGATATACGTATTTTTCATAAGAAGGGAATGTCAGAAATAATTGATAAAGAAAATTAAACTAATATGACGTTACCTAACCTAACTTACATAGTTATAATGCCATATTTAATCTATTTTATGTTATAACCTGTGTAACGCATCAGCCTATCGTTAGTTAGTTGCACGTCATAATTGGTATTATCATCAACCAAGCTTAATGCAATACTACTATAGAATTTTAGTAATGTGTATACTTGATAATCAGAAAATACAAAAATTACAAAAAGTTTGTAATACTGAATTTTATTTTTACATTTGCAGACTTAAATTTTTACTTTTAAATGGACTTGGTTTATGTAAATTATTAAACATATTAACCTGCGGTGGATCGTTATATATTCTACCAATATTAATTTTCTATCCTGATTTTTTGAAGAATGATTCTTGAGCAAGATCAAAAATAAATCGTTCAACTGAACGTTAATTTGAAAAGAATATAATAATATATGTATCATTTAATTTCACGGCTAGGTATAAAATACATTATATTTTATATCTGCATATATTTAATAAAATAAATGTAATATAGATTGTTATTCTGTAGAATTAAAATGAAAATATCAAAACGCAAATGAAAATTAAATAAGTCGCATTAAATATGCTATTCTGTAAAAAAAATTTTACACCTAGATAATTATGAACAAAATTATTATACCTATAATTATGCTGACGGATCGTTCATTTATGGTTTAGGCAATAATTACCTATGTATTATACTCCATTTATACTTTGAATCAATTGCAATATTAATAGTATGATAATAGGTATTATAGATGTAATATATCATACGATTTATGTCACTTAGCTATTATAGTTACCTATTATTATATAGTGTTTTGCATATTCCTTATCATATAATATAATACCATACTGTGTAATTATTTGTATTAAAAATACACGCTTTTATTACCTAATATCTTTACACGTCTATACCCTTTGGATGGATTTTTTCAAACAATTTGTAATTTATTTATTTTTAATTTTTATTATTATTTTTCTTCTTTTTTAGGAATGCATCAGTCGCTGAAACGCAATGCGGAAAATGGCGAGTGGCAATCGGTCGATCCTCACAATGGACAAACCGATAACCTGGGTCAATCGTCTTGGTAAACGACACTGATAAGTAACGACATAACATAGACAATATAAAATACAATTATCAAGAGTTATCAGATATTTAGCAAAACATATATATCTATATATATATATATAGATATAATATAATAATATCTAAGTCTAAATCTGCAATAAACGTGACATGGAGAGTGTCACTGTTGTCGAAGAAGAACTGACAACTATGAAGTACGTCAATGCGACGCCCGAGTTTACAGTCGAAGAGATAAACTCATTTTTTTTCTACGAAGTAAGTTGACACCGATCAAAACCTTTATTATATTTTGACTTCAAATCCCTATTAAAACAAATATATTATTATATATTACGTTAAATAATATGTATATTATATATTATTATACATAAATACTTAGATCAAGCCTAAATAAAGGGGAGGGCACAAGATTTCAGATTTTTTTTTTTTAAACGCATCTTTCTTTTTATTATAAATATTACTTTTTAAATACCTATTGTAAATTAAAGAAATTAACTAATAATTTTAAATGTTAATGTTAATAAAAATATCTGTTTAAAAAAAAATTTAGATCTTGAAGATAAAACACTCGATGCTTCTTAATTTCTATGCTGCATTTTAATATTTTTATAGGTACAATTAGAAATTTTACGTTACGATACAAACATTTGCCACAGCAATAACTAGAAATACATTTTCAATTAAATACTCAACACGAGTTCTATTTAATATCTTATAAAAATATATATACAATTATAAACAATTGTATTTTAATTTCATATTGGAACCTTAAAAATTTTAATCCATATTTTACCTAGGCGGAATTAAGGAAATTACTTACTTCATCCACCCAAAGCAATATAAATATGACTATATCATATTATGCGGTGTATATACACTTATATATGTGTTTACTATTATGTATGTGAGCTCGCTCCATGGTGTACCAACGCAGAAACATACTATTGGTTTAAAGACACCGGACGATTTATAACACAGTAAATCCTTGTGAGACGCCATACATATTATGTATTTGTATTAAAGCCATTAAAAGTATATAATAATATAAGATAAATATTAAAGCTTGTGTCGGATTATCTGTAGTGAGAATTAATGAACAAACAAATAGTGCGTACGAAATTAACCTTAAAACAATATAGAGCTTTACTCTCCAGAGCGTCTTTACAGATGAACACATATATATATATATATATTCAATGTTGTATACCTTCTACACATGGCCATGTCCTAAACGCCGCTAAAGCTCCGTTCGATAAATTATTATAGTAAAAATACTGTAACGGCAACCGAATCCGTATAATATGTATACGTATAACACCGCCTTTTTCAATACATATATGCATGTAATATATTACAATACTAGCTGCTGCTACTGCTCTTTTTGACACGCACACGTTCGTACTGCAATATTATACGAGTCCCGAGGGATTGGAAAGCAATAAATATCTATAGTTTCTATTTCGTTTACTGATTTTTAAATTTTCGATTTCTGTCTTAATTTTTAACACCGGAATAGAGATTGCAATTTCAATTTTAATTTTTTATACCTATTTGTATATCTTCCGGTTTTGATTTTTTTTTTCAGTTATTATTTCAGTTTTGATTACTAATTTTCATTTTTAAGCCGACCGATTTTCATTTTTTTCTTTTTATTCGTAGGTGCTTGTTTTAATTTCCAATAACATCAGTTTTAAGTCCTCCGTAATTCAATTCTCTAGATTCTCTGCTAACCCTGGTGCCACTTAAAACAATAACTCATACAGTCGTATATTACATGGTAATAAGCAAAGTTCTTAAATAAAAATATGCATTTTTCCTTTGTTATATCAAACCCATAAAAATAAAGAACACATAATTAACGGTTTTTACGAGTTATTATAATTAACAGTATACCTCCGATTGCCTCTATAACTTCCGCAACTGTCGAAGTTCCGTATACTTCTTCAATGTACAGAGTGATTCACTTTTTTTAAGAAAATTAAATTTGTTTTACTCTCGAGAAATTAATTTAATCAATTAAAGTATTTAATGACTCGACTATTAAGTATTAGCATCTACTTGAAAATCCTGAAAATTATAATACGAATAAAAAATTAATTTAATAATGATAAGGAGCTACGGGATAGTAATAATTAGTGTTACGAACCACACGCGAGTACCATTATTTACTGCAGGTCCACAGTCTATTACATTTACATGATTTCTATTCAAAGGTTTTTGAAAGATACCAAAATATTATTATTTATTAGACATGTCCGCCCGATAGATGGAGACCGCAGTGTCCACTGGTGCATTGCATCCCCGATTTATCATCCCACCCGTTGTACTGATTCTGCACCATTTTGTATACACGGCCAAAACACCACTTGTAACCGGAAATTTCCATCATCCCTAAACACATTTAATACAATACTATTATAATAATATAATAAAATCGTTAACTCACCCTTGCTAAATATATTACTATTTTACGCCCGGTCTGTATAATAATATATTCGCACCATATTATTGTTATAACTGCGTAGGAAACATTGCACATATGTCTTATCCAGTCTCGATCTCGCAATAAACTTATTATAGGTAACGTTTGTTAATTTTTTTTTTTTTTTTTTGGTAAAATACCATTGAGCTCACGATTCTTATCAAAAAAACATAATTAGTATTACGATTGAGTACGCTTCTTTTTTTTTTCTACCGACGTTGCCAATAATTCAATCGTTTTGATAAGACAATAAAGAATTGGTATAAATTACCGTCTAAGTGTAAGTGTTTCTATTATGTCTACAATATACTATAGATTTCTATTCGATATTTATAAATTCTATTTATATTAATACGCTCTATTCATACATATTTTTAAACAACGTTTTAATAAATTTAAATGCTGATAATTTTAAATTTTAGTTATGAGCTTATGATTTACTTAATATAAAATTCTCTTGACTTCGCATACAATTAAACAAATTCAATAATACAAGTTTAATTATTATCACGGAGAAATAAACAAAAATAATCAAGTTACCAAGTTATTAACTACTGTAACTGTAAGTTAAGTTTAACTAATTAAATGACTAGCCCATCCTTGATTATACACCAGAAATATAAATAAAACAATTTTATATTTTTGTGTATTAACTTAGTTGTAAGTTTTTTACTGTATGCCAGAAACAACGGAGCAGAAAATTATAGATCTTTCTTAAATATTCAACTACATATTTACACACGTATACATAGACATAGATCAACTGTGTAAACATTAAATGAGATATATTTTTAAATTCATGAAATTCTTATAACTTCTATATAAGAATTCCGCATTTTTATATTTTCCGTGAAAATAATTATTTTAAAACTGTTAAACTTTGTAGTCCGCACGTTGTAATAACAAAATATATTATGCCAAAAATAGTGTATCACACAAACTTCATATAATAATTTTAATAGTACATAATATTTGTTTTGCGAGGATCACGAAAGGCGCGAGTCGTTGTTATTTATTCAAATTATATCATTAATTATTATATTGAATTATATTAGCCAAAGCCCAAAGTTATAACCACCGGTATATTTACTTTTGGTGTTGAAAAGTATTCATCATGCCTAAAAATAATAATATTACCTTGCAAAAAACTGTCGAAATGATTCAGACGGAAATCACGATTCGCAAGCGCGTATGACAGTTCGACGACGTCATCGCCATGTGTTTCTCTTACCTCTGCCGACTAGGCATACATCGCCCGCACGTTCGCACGTGCGAACCACCGCAGAATACAATTAGTGAATCTCGGACGATCGCCAAATATCATACTATTAATAATTAATAATAAATACAAGTATAACGATAACATTATTTTATATCGCCGTATACGGGATTCGCATAATATATATATTATTATAATAATAAATCGTATACAACGATGATACTTTAATGGCATTTGGCACGTACAACGGTAATTCATTATTAATAATTATAATTACGTTTTCGATATATCGTCAAAATATAATATCGTAGGTATTGTTTTTGCGGTAACCAATTATAATACAATGGAAATAATATCGTATTAGACCCTACGTATAGGCATAAGAAATTCATCAGAGACGACAAATTGTTTTCTAATGTGAAATATAATAGTAAGAATAATAGCGAAACAGAATACTCACGTGTTTAGGAGACTTCAAGTATCGCGTATCTGCGTAGACGTATCATTGTCGTTACTATAGTAGTTTATTCATCAGATAACATAACTCGGACAATATTATTTTGATTTTATTTCATTCTGCCAAAGTTAAATTTCCAAACGTTCTAAAGTATATCCACATGTTGATAACCATATAAATAGCAAAATAAGTAACTCGATGACGTAATTAATATACAAATAATATAATTTCTAACCTGGCTTAAAATTATAGCATCGAGTAAAATATTTAAAATTAACACATCTAAACCTTAGGCGCGTTTAAATTAAAATAAAACTCATATGGAATAGTTGCCAAAAGCAACACTTTAATATTATTTAAATTTACTATTCGTAACGTTTATACATATTTGAAAAAATTATTTACGCTTTTTAGTATTTAGTGTTGGCCAACATTTACATAACCAAACGATAATGATTTAAAAAGACCATCATTTCTTTCACATTTAGAGGTACTTACAATGGATTATCGTCGACAGTGTTTTCGCCTGACATACTAACGTTTTATACGTACGAGTATATAATATATTTAATATGTACATTTATCAAAAAATGTCATTCAACGTTATTTTTTATAAAGCGATATTTCTTATTCATGTACCACATATTAGATTTCTGCTTACCACAAATTAAGGCGATTTATACAATTTACCTACCAGTTCTAAACTGTATTCAGGTGATTAATCGGCTAGGTTGTGTACACCATTAGGAGAGATACTAAAAACTTGCAAATGAACGAATCGCGTATATAAAATTCGAGGTTCTCGAGTGTTAATAAATCGAATCTAGCAGTATACATTAATACGTATAAGGGCAAAATTTTGACTTACTATATTTTTTATGAAGATAAATCACACATCATTACATACACTAGAATATTATATTATCGTTCATATATATATATATATATATATGTATATTAGAAAAAAATATATTTTATTTATAGCACGATATAGGTACTAACATATTTTTATAATGATTTTACAGTCGGCTAAGTCTAATGAATTATGAGTAGTCAAATAAAAAATAATTTTTAAAAATATATCACATAATATAATAATTGTTACATAGAAATTCAAAATAGATAAAAAATGGAATATAATACGTACTTCACCGCTCATAAATATCACATTAAATTATACTGTTATTATAATAATAATTAAATCCAACTATTAGCTAAATTGGAATGGCCCGATTTCTTAATAAGGCAACATAGGATTCATGTTATTTTCGGTGGGTATAGAACGCTCTAAATTTTACTATTGCCACGGCAAAAAATACTGTGCAAAAACCTATAATTTTAATAATGATAATAAAACTTTAATAATATAGCTTATGAGCTATGATATAGTCGATATAAAGTTACTGCGTGTTTATTCAAAATTAAAAGAGCAAAATGCTAATAAATTTAAAAAAAAATTATTCATTCAATATTATTGATATATTTTATGTATACGTCAACGTTTCTAGAAAAGTACTCCACTTGCTTCAGACATTACAAAATGAAATAAAAATAATTATTATTTCCACGGGGTCTAATATTATGTACAGTACGGTTAAAATATGCATACATAATTCTGTACGATACGAAAAAAAAGTTTATGATAGATTAGTAACTAAATTATGAAATGTTATATATTAAATTATTATTATTATTATTATTACTGACGTCTAATTATACAGTTTTTATCTAAGGTTGGAAGACCCCAACAACACATTTAAATAGTTTACCCATGTATTTCCATTTAAAAACGTTAAGTAGATATTAACGGTGCACAGAAGTGAAAAAATAAAATATTACAAAACTTTGGAATACAATTTCATGACGCTATTATCATGAAAATAAACAGTGTTCACACGCACATTTATACTACTTTAATTAATGCGGTATCTTCGCTGCCTCCGTCACCGTAACGACGATATGTAATCGTCCATTAGACAAGTTGAGCGAGCGATCGTCGTACGCCGGAGGTCGTTCCGCTTGTCATCTTCGGGCCAGTCGCATGAGAATGTGTACCTACCTATATCGTTCCACAAATAAGCTCATTATTATTATTATATGGCCCAGAATAGTAAACGTGCACAGTTAAAAACTATTATACAGGGTGGTTCACCAAGCATTATAAACTCCCACTTTATTATTTTATAATAGTTTATTCAAATTCTAATTTTTTGAAATTTTAAGTGTATTTAAATACCATGTACTCAAACACTTGAGATTTTTTGTGCTGCTGAAGGAGTGTTTTAAAGTGATTTAAACTATCATTTATCAAATTAAAATCTACATTTTTTAATATCGATGTAGGTACCTAATTCAAAATTCAAACGAGTAGCCTTCCGATTATTAAAATATTTGTTTTAAGAACAATAGTCCTTAAAAATAGTTTTATGAATATATAAAATAGATGTTATGCTGGATCTATAGTATTACTATAGAGATATATTGAGACCATTTTTATAAATTATAAACTAATACTTTAAAAGCACTATAGTACATTTCACCAAATCTTCCAAGTCCGTTATCGTGGACCAATTATCTTTTGTACACAAAATCAACAAACTAAAAAACGATTCGTTCAGATTTTTATTTTTATGTATCAAAATTCAAAAAATATATATTCATTAAATAATTTATAGTTAAAAATGAATTTGTTATTTAAAAAAATGAAAGTTTGTATCTCTACGAGACTCTCCTTGAGTATTACAAAAAGTCTTAAAAATTTGAAAATATGGTCTTTAAGTAAATTAAAAAATTTCAAAAATCAGGATTTAAATAACTGCGTTGTTGAAGAAGAAAAAGAGTATCGTGCTTGGTGGATCATACTGTATAATATGTGGTGTACTGCGATTGCGACTGTAACGCGGTCAACGTGCAAGCTGTATTTGTATATAAGTATATATAAAAAAAACCGATAGAAAGGAGTGCGATTTGTGCACATGTGTGTGTATGTGTGTGTGTGTGTTGTGATAGTCATTTAAAATGCGTATAGAAAGAAGAAGAAAAATAAAAAAAAATACTCGTGTATGTGAGAAATAATAATAATAGTAATCATTAAAAACGGCACAAAGTTGTACGTGACGCGGAAACCAAAACCTCCGCGGACTCAGTGGTATAACCGGCTTAAAACGGAAGACGACTATGCGAAAAACTTACTAGAAGCAAAAAAAAAAATATATAAAACAAAACAATACAATATATTACTCATGTGTTTGGCGCGTGCGCGTGCGCGCGCTCACGATATAAATTTGTCTTGTCACAGCGAGGCGGGGAAACGTCGTCGTCGTTAATAGTGTTCGCACGAACGGACTATTTAGCGCAGCGCCAGAGTCGTGTGGTAATGGCACTGTATAATGTTAAAATTATAATAATATATACGTCGGGTCGTCAACGTATATAAAAATCGTACGCCGTCGTCGTTGTTGGGCGGCGAAATGTTTCGAAGCACCATTGATAGTATAGATCAATAAGAATGATACAGATACCTAGGTGTGTATCGTATAAGCGTACAGTGTACAAATACATCATCGTTCCGTTGGTTTGCGTATTATTTATGTGAATCGTCGGTTTTTTTTTTTTTATATTTATAAAACATAAAAAACGTGAGATCTACAACGATATGCGGACTGAACATGACTACACGTATAACCACCATTAACATTTCGAGCGTATAGAATATAGATAAAAATGTACTTACAAAATGTGTCTTGAAAAAGACACGCATCTGATAAAACGTCTAAGTACGAAATGCATGATACCTATAGCCTATAGGTAATTCACGTACTCGTGTTATATTTTATATGTTTATAAATACTCGTATGATGTGATTATTGATTACAATGATAAAGCTGATGTGCTGACATTTATTTTGCATGTTTGGAGACTTGTGAATATTACTGCATAATATTTACCGACATATTAACTTAACATAACTTCATATTTAAAAATATTTCTCTTAATTTGTTTTCATTTTTTTTTTTTTTTTTCAACGCAAATTTCAATATTTATATTTGACTTTTATTTCCGAAGAAAAAATAGTTATTTACGTTCTTGTTTTCTTTAGCTGTTAGCAATGAATATAAACATCGATAAAATATTATATGCATTTGATCGCTAAAAAATACATAAAATGATATTTTAAAGGGAAATTCAATGAAATAAAATTGCATATATGTAAAAATAAAGACAGATACTCACGGCTGGTATTTTTGATGTTACACACATCAATATAATTCAAAGCTTTACGTCAAAAGAAATAACCCAAACCCGTAACACACCTGAAAAATCTTAAAAAATCAAACACTCGAAAATCGAAACCCATAAAACCCAAATGATCTTTATTCTAAAACACCAAAATTAACTGAACCCGAATGTTTTTTACTTAGCAAATTGTATGTGAATATTAATTCGATATCGCATATAGTTATGAATAAATTAATTATATAGGTACCTATTAATTATTAAATAATGCGAATATACTGGTTTATGTTTACATCGTTTATTGATATATATGCATCATTGATCACTCCATAAAACCGTATTTTGTATGTTTGATTTAAATTTATTAAAAAGTTTGTTATTAAAAATTAACAACATTACTGTAGCTAAATAGCCTATTCAGAACGCCGCGTGATCAGAACCTAATTATTATTACTAAACCTATGAATTTACATCACATAATTATTAAAAAAAATAAAACTGTAATTACTATTTTAATCACTTACCGTCTTAAAAAATAAAACATTATATACAGTAGTGCATGTACTACTTTTAAAATGATTGTGATTTTGTTTCCTACTATTTTTTGCAGACCATACAGTTCACAGTCTTGTGGATATTGTTCTTGTCGATTGTACTAGGCAACGGAGCCGTACTGGTAGCCCTATCGTTCAATAAAGCCCGCAAAAACCGAATGAACTTTTTCATCATGCACCTGGCACTGGCTGGCAAGTATAATTTTTTTACGCTATTTTACGACATGTACATAATTCGATATATATTTTTTTTAATGTCTGATCATCTATTGTAAAATAATAATATGTAAAAATGCACATTTTAATATATACCTAGCATAATACATTGCAAAGCATCTCTCTTTTTTTTTTTTTTTTTTTTTTTGCTATAAAAAATCTCACAAGTTCACAAAAACTATTCTCATAACATAGAATTACAAATTTATTATTTAAATAGTATGTTATATTACGCTATACTATTGAGCCTTTGTGTTAAAAAGTATTGATTTTTTTCGACATTTCCTTCTTGGAAAATATAAAACTGTTAAAACACTTTATGTAATAGAGTCTCGTTAATCCCAAAAACATGGTAATCTGAACGGGCTTGGAAATAGCCGCATCGCTATACTAATACACACATCACACATGTATCATAATTCATTATAATATGCAATATATTATGAACATATTAGTTGGCTATGTATACATAATTATAATGGTTTTGATTGTATTCATTGTGTTTTTCAACAACAAATTTTTTGGATTAATACTGCAATATAGATAAAGATTAATTTCAAAATTTAAATTGCAAAAAAATGTATTTATTTTCTTAAGTCATTCGAACAAATCGTTATCCGAATGGTCCCTTTCCCCAATCTCGTTCGGATTAACGAGATTCTACTGTAATATATAATTCTAACGTTACCTTTTTTTTCACTCTCATATGTGTTAGTAAAACCATAATCTATTATATAATACTACTTAAATAGAAACCAATATAATATAATATAAAAATGATAATGACAGCATGAAATAGTGTCTAGTATCTTCTTAGTTTTACGAAGATAATTCCGAGAAAAAATAAGTTTTCATAACAATATCCTGAATAACGATTTGAGCGTTCGCCGTCAAATAAAAATCACTCTATATAATATAACAATCTATATACTGTCGTATTCAAATTGCGACGATACGTCAGTCGTCATTTTGACAGAGCGAGGATTGCTTGCTTATAGATGTTACATTATGTTATATGTTTGTACAGGTACCAGATATATGGTGTAGATATACGTAATTTATAAGCGCGGCGAGGAGTGAGTTATAAACGAATAGAAAAATATATATTTTGCATGTGCGTCGATTTATTATTACATTATGCGGTAGCATCGTGTCGTTGGCACATATTATAGGTACCTACACATAAACCAAAGTCAAAACTAACCGTGCCAATGTCTATAATATAATAAATTACACCGTATCCTTACCTATACTCATCCGCGTCCGACAATCGCAAGTAATATACATATATAGAGGTACTTTAAACATATTATATTTACATTGATACTTGCACTACCGACCATAATATGGTAATAATATATGAACCTGTTTATTATATTATTACTCATACGCATGAAATACTGTTAAACGCTTGCGCTTAGGCGTGCCACAGTTTACGGCGATGACGATTTTAATTTTTAACGCATGTTAATCCTCGGCGTGCAGAAAATCGAAAATAATATCTTTACCGAAGCCCGAATCTGTTTAAGTGTATACTTAACTCACGTATAACAATATACATATATCTAATAAATTCGAGTAGAATTCGCACGTTTGGGTATGCACACGCGTCTAAATCATGCATAAATTGCAATACACGGCATGGCAGCTATTAGCAAAACCTATTGACTCGGCCGATTTACAATATTTAAAAACGGTTATTTATAAATAATGTATATTATTATATTATTTAAACTACAACAAACTGATTTTTTTTGCCAAATGTATATACTTACATATAATTATTCGATTTCGATTTCAACTCTCGTGGTTTTAAGCGCCCCATATTTTATTGTTCCACACATATAAGCCACGTGCTATTTACTGAATTCTGAACGTCTATATCAAAAACCAATTTCTCTAAATCCTTTCATATAACACTAGTCTAGATGAAATGTATGATCATCTCGTTCAAACGCAAACGCAAATGCAAAATGCTTTGAAACTATTTTCTATTTTGTTTGTGTCGAAAATTCAAATATAATTTATGATATTATAATAAATAATAACATAAAATAAAATGTTTCTGAACAGACTTATTGGTGGGACTAGTGAGCGTGATGATTGACATGATATGGAGAACGACCGTCACCTGGTCAGCTGGTCCGATTGCTTGCAAAGTCGTCAAGTACTTACAGGTAATGTATTTATATATATAATATTATATTAAATCTTATATTTATAATTATACCATTAATTTCGATGTTGTAGTCGTTCAACAAAGATAAGTTTTGGCAATACTATATTATAGTACATACCTATTATACCCGCATAGGAATTGGAGACTTTAACGCTCCTTGAAGCGTGTGCGTTCGTATCTGATACATATTCGTATAAATAATATTGTTTTTCTATTTATTTATTATATTTTATATGGTTTTCATAAAAACCGTGATGAATAAACATGCACACACGATTATATGTGTAACAAACAGAAATATACAATATTTGTATTGCCCTTCGCACGACTTAAATTGTGATCGCAATCATACCGATTGCACGTAGGTAGGTATATATAATTTACTACTGGGTACTATATAAGTGAAGTTGTACCTCTATATAATTTTAAACAATAATTAAAAATGATTTAGTGAACAATTATTATCATTATTTTCACGACTTGTAGTTCATCTAGCTATTTATTCACTTAAGATGTTGTAAGACTAACTACAATATTTTTATAAATGAGTTTATTTTTATCTTACATTTTATCGTTACATAAAATTTAAATAATTGATTAATAAATTATTTTCCAATATGATATAGTAACTTAGAAAAGTTACTATTAATAAATAAACCATTTTTTCAATGGACAAACTGTCAATTTTGTATAATATCTTAATATTTTTATTTTATTTTTCGTTAAAAAAAAATATTTGATAATATTTTAAATATATAATATAATATGTATATTATGAAAAATTAAAATGTGTTAACATTGTTTTAGGATACTGTCATACTGATCGAAAAGTTTTCCATTTTCTGACTGACAAATTGTTTAGTTATAACTTATAACTTGTCAGCTTTTCACTAATGACTTAAATTTAAGTTACTTTTATTTCTGGAAACTTTAAACTTATTTATGCGGTCTACGATACAATAAATTAAATATTAACAAAGTTGGTATATATATTTTATTTTTAATCAAAAACGTAGATTATTAAAATTTAAAAACAATTTTTCTAACCAATTATTAAATACTACAATAGGTACATGTTACACTTTACTAAAACATTATACGTTTTAATACATCTATATAGAGTAACACTATTGATTCATGTTTATATTGTTTATATTAAAATATAGCCGATATGTACCCGTAATTAAATTTCTAGTATAACAGAAATGTATTTATACCTCGTCCGCGATCAGTACCATTGTAGAATAAAAGTGATTTCCCGCGGTATTGATCTTTCGGAAATCACGAACAACCCGTACGTCTAGAGCTATGAACTAGAAGAAAAAAACAAATTAAATAAACACATATATTTATGATATACTACATAAATACGTGGGTAAACGCGTAAGTGACCTCGTGTTTGTTAGTGTAAATATAGTTTATAATAGAATATCAACACCATAGGCGTAGTTAGGTAGGCTTAGCCCATCCTCGGTTCAGAAAATAGCCCCCCTTAAATTCAGCTGAACCCTCCACGAGTCGGTACATGTCTACCCCTAAGAGGGCTACAGCCCCCCCCCCCCCCAAAAAAAAAAAAAAAAAAAAAAATTTGACCACACTACGCCTTTAATCAACACAACGCACTTCATAAAACAATAATATATAGGAATTACATCAATTCGTCGTAGGCATGCATATATTAGTCATCACCACAACCACCGCAGCCATTATATAATTCACGTTAACTTACAGTAACATTTTTTACCATCGGCTAAATAATAATAACTTCGTTAATATAATACTAATAACGGGCGCATGTAAACTCTGCCACAAATACCTTTTTTTACTGTAAACTCCGCCAGAAAAAAAAAACAGGTAAAATTGGGTTCATGTAAACTCCACCACTGAAAAAAATCAATTAAAATTAAGTTCATGTAAACTCCGCCAGTAAAGAAAATCAAGTAATAGTATAAAATTAATATGATATAGATATTATTAAAAAAAAAAATTATAATGTAATATAATATCATATCGTTCACATTAAATATTTAAATCAGAGTAAAAAAATCATAGTAAATAATGTTTCTACCTAATAATCCAAAAATATATGGTATGTCATGTATGTTAACTAAAATGATGTGATACAATTTGTAAATATTCTAAGTCTTGACATTACTCCATTAGTATATATCATCGCAATAGATGTCAACGTATTAATGTAAGAAGGCACGAGGCAATGTGAACACTGAGCAGCTAAACAAAAAAAAATTGACAGAGCTTATATAAACCCATTACAGGTAAAAAAAAAAAACTGACGAAGCTTACATGGCTGTATGTAAACTGCGGCAAAAAAAAAATTAAGATTATATAATCTGCCACAAAACCGATAAGATACATCATATAAACTGTGGAAATTTAATTAGATACCTATTGTATTATTATTTATTTTTATTTTTTTTTTTTTTTTTGATTATACGATTTTTTTAAATAATTTTTAATATAATAATAATATTTTTTAATTTTAAAATTGGTTTTTTGATTATACAATCATTACGATTTAATTTTTAATAATAATATATTTTTCAATTTTAAAAATTGGTTTTTCTTTATTTTTACGCCTAATACTCTAAGAGATACTAATAGCTGTCATAACACGTAATACGTATTATACCTAATTAAACAATAAATGTGTATAAGTATATAAAATAAATTGCCGCAGTTTGTATGATGTATCTTATCGGTTTTGTCGCAGATTGTATAATCTTAATTATTTTTTTGCCGCAGTTTACATATCGACTTTTAGAAAAAGGTAAATTTTGCCGCAGTTTACCATCTCCCGCTTACATTAGACCTTTTATTACCTTTTTATCTTGACCTGTATTCTGGTGGAGTTTACAATCGCCTCTAATAACTAATAAGTAATAATAGTAATTCTATGTGTACAAATACATAATTATATACAATAAGCCACCGCGCGTTTTCCCTTTTACTGTGTTAACTCAAATTTTTTTTTTTTTTCAACATATTTATTTTAATTTGTACAATCTGTAACAGAAATATTTACAATAACCACAATGGAGGGTTACAATAGGTCATGGTTGGCTTGGTTGAAGGAGCTATTCAATAATAGCACTTCATGGCGAGAAAGAAACTAGTAAATTAGTCCACTAAAAGATCACGACACCAGCTACGTTTTAAACGACGGACAGGGTCGCCTGGAATTGTACCTAAAAAGAGGTTTTAGATGAGATGGTTACGGTGATTAGCAAGTTTGAGGTGGAAACGCTTGTATTGGGTTTTAGCGACGTTTTTTACTGTTGGAATGAGGAGGTACATATGTAAGGTGTCATTCGACACATAAAAGGGAGCTTGGGTTATCTGTCGTAGGCATTTTGATTGGAAGGTTTAGATTCGGCTTATGTTGGAGTTTTGGCTGATCCCCAGAGTTGAACTCCATAGGACCAGATAGGTTTGAGGAGTACCTTATAGATAAGGATTTTATTATTATTTAATGAGACGTGATTGGAAGAGAAGAGGAGGTGAAGCTGTCTTTGGCGATTATTGAGTACTAGTCGTTTATTACGTATGTGGGTAGCCCACGTGAGTCGGCGATCTAGGTATAAGCCTAGGTAACGCACATTTTGAACGGTCGGGAGAGGTTGGTTAAATGTGATAGAGGGGCAGCTTATTGGTCTGAGAGTGAATGTGCAGTGGATAGATTTGGATTCGTTGAGTTTGAACCCCTATTCTTTGTACCACTTCGAGAGCATGTCAAGGTGGGTTTGGATTCTGTTGGATGCCTCGAGAGGGTCATGGGCTCAAATTATTAAAACATTAATACTTCTTGTCTCTTGACCTGCTTTGTATACATAACTAATTAAGTCGTTGAGTAGAATATAAGTATTGTTAGCTGCTGTTTGTGTATATATACTCACACTTAATGATTCGATTTTTACATATGTAACAGTGTGTGTTCGGAGAAAGGGAATCACCATTAGGCTAAATCTAAACCAAAAAGCAAAGACATTTGCTTTTTATATTCTTCCGTATTTGGTAGAAACTATTAAACCAAAAATGTTTGTTCTCAAGTGATTATATTTTATACTAGAAAGTTAATAATATTTTATTAAGCTGTCCACCACAAATTACATTTTTTATACAAAAATAAATAAACCCCGATATATAATGTTTATTATTTTATTTGTTCAAGTATACAATATAAATTACATGATCGATGTCGTAATAATTTATTTAGCTCGTATTTTTATTTGAAGGATTGAAGCATATAGAGTTCTAAAGTCCTGAACAGCTTAATCCACAATAAGAATAAATTAGTTTCCTTATTTCATAACTTACATATATTAATAATTAATAATATTATATTTTAAGCTCAGTCCAATACTATAAAAAAAAATTGACTGCTGGATAGTAGTTAATTTATATTATCCGTAGTATCCACGGCAAAATTGTGCTATTAAAATTTAAATAATTTTACAATTGTATTTTAATCATATGTTAATTAATATTGGTAAATACTAGATAGTTAGAACGAATAAATTAAATTAGATGTTATAGGATTTTGCTCTGTACCAAAAGAATTAAAAATAAAACGGAAATTAATTAATCTCAAGATTGTTTTCGGTTTGATTATAGAAATGTTCTATAATATTATAAATAGAGCTCGGAAGTTGTAGGAACTGCATATTGTTCTATATGCTCTCAATTTATAGCAGACTAAATTAGAAATCTAAACTGTACGATGGAGAGTTAAAAAAATTAAAATTAAAAATACATATTGAGCATATTTTATCAATGTTAACTAAAAAAGTGCATATTTTATTGATTTTAAACGCATATTATGCATATTTCATATTTTTCTAAAATAAATTGATTTTTTCCTTTTTTAACCTGTATATTTCAATAAATATTGAATATAAAACTTAAAATGTTCAACGAAGGTATTTATTGTCATTTTCATAATCGCCAATTAAATTAATAACAGTGAACCTCAACCTAACCATTGATGGGTCAATACAATAACTTACCAGGTATTAGAAAACATGTATTTTTTTCGTAATTTCAAAAATACTGAAAAAACATTTTTCATTATATTTTTAGCTCAATAAAATGTCAAAATGCCAATCAGTTATACATTTTTTTCAGTTATAAACAGTTTTTATGCACATTATTATTTTATTAATTTATTAACAACACCTGATGTATTTTTATTTTTTATTTTTGAAATTTAGAATAATTTTTTTGCATATTTAATATCATTTTAGTGCATATTTTGTAATTTTTTCGTGTATATTTCACCTTTTTTAACTCCTACAACTTACAAGCCCTAATTATAAACAATCATGTTTATACTAATATACTCGTAATATTAGCTGTGTATACTTAAGTATAATTCAATTTACTTACATAACTATATCTTCTTACTTGTGTGTGAGTGTGTGTAATATATCTACCTACGTAAAATAAAAATATAAATATATCTATATTCATAATCAATTTATAAGGGATAATTTATGTAAAAATATTGTATATTATAATACTTATTATTTATTATTATTTCAATATATAGTTACATAAAAAATAAATGGGTTGAAGAGATATAATTTATGTACGATAGGGATAAACATATTCGCAAAACGTTCTATGGCACATTCTAACTTCTAAACAACAGATAAACACGACTAACACGACCACAGCTACTTGTTTTGAAGGCGAAATAATATATTTTAAACGTGCATTTCAGGTGGTTGTCACGTATTCGTCTACATACGTCTTGGTCGCACTCAGCATCGATAGATACGATGCCATCACGCACCCGATGAATTTTTCCAGTAGCTGTAAGCTGAAAAAAGAGAAAAACAGAAACAGAATTTTTTAATAAAAAAACTATATTATTTTCATACATTTTCAGGGCGTCGGGCCAGAGCATTGATCGGATGCGCTTGGATTTTGAGTTTCGTTTTCGCCGTACCTAGTGTATTTATCAACGAAGAAACAATAATACAAGGTAATGATCTTATCTATAATGTCTTAAATAATAAACAGATATAGGTACTCATAGTATTTTATAATAATTATATGGTAATTTATATTAATATAATATGCAGGTTTAATACGCAAATTTGAGTATATTTTTTAACCTCCAATTTTTCTTAGGATTATCAACGAAAGGATAGTTAATAAACAATGCGAGAGTATCTCAAACTATACTTATTAAACCTTATAATATATATTTCAAGTTTGTAGAACCTACTTAAACATCTATTTATAAATACTATTTAATCTATGAGTGTACATAAGAAATAAGTATATATAATAAAGTTTATTTATTTTCCATAAAACAACAATAGTAAATTAGGTTAGGTAAGGTATTATATCCTGGAAGAATCTTCACTAGAATAATAATGATGAATCAAGTATTGGATTAATTGAATATTAAATTAAATATCCTATACAAAATCTAGTATCTATTATTAGATTCCTTTGTATTTTGGAAATATATTTTCCAAGTTTGTAAAAAGATAATTATATAACTACTAAATCAAGTTTAAAAAATAATTAAATAATTTTAGTCAATTTACCATAATATAATAATTTGGGAATGGTACAAAGAAAAATGTGAGAAGCAGTCTTACTTCTTTTTATATTATCTTAATGCACAAATCAATAATCATACTGTGAAGTACGATTTTTTATAAAAAAAAAAAAAAAAAAAATGATGCTGATATAAGCATGCGTTTAAACCGATGTCAGCCATTAGGTTAATTTAGGTAATGACGTTTAATTGAAAGTTAAGTTATACATTTTTATAACACTCCAATAACGCAATAGTTATTACTTATTATAGACTATAGTAGAATACAGTTGAACTGCAGCACTCGAATTGGGAGTATAACTATATTATAATATAAACGAAGAAAACTGAAATCGATAAAAACATAATCTATGTACTGATTATTTTATTATTAAATTTATTCCATCCATTAAAATAACTATACTCATATAAAAATAATCGCTTCAGCGTCTCCTTTCTAGTAAGCTATTTCTACTGTCTAATACGATTAGATTTTACAAAAAAAAACAAAATAATATTACGACTCATATAATCATTTACGGTTCGCGAACACATAATAGCTTATTTTTTCATTTGTACTTTTAATTTAAAGAACGCTCTGAATTTCTCTCCCCCCTATGGCCTTATTGCTCCCAAAATAACAGAGTTATTTCAATATCTTTTGGTATAAACGCGTAAAACTATTGTCCAATGGAGTAAACAATTCGTTTAAACACTTTAAACTATAAACACGCGCTAAGTCAGAGTAGAATTTTAAATTGTACCACCTCGTAGTTTTTATATAATTTTTACTAACCATACCACACATAATTGTTGTAAAAATTGACGATTATTAACTTTTACCAGTTAACAAAATAAAACATAAAAATCATTCAAATATATTATTTTGTTACTTTATCATGTTATCCTAGCGTCTTTATATTTATCCATAGATCAGTAGTACTACTAATACAATCTAAACCTTAAAATTTAAAGCTATCATAAATATTATTAGAATACTTAATGGATATTGGTAAATTAAATTATTAAACATTTTTACTAGGTAGAAAATGAAAATAATAAAATCCCTTTGTGTCGTATAATAAATACTTTTTATTATTACTCTAAATAATACCGATGTATTTAAAAATAATAACGAGTTGGCCATGAAAAATGTTTTATAATTATCAAATTGTTTTCACTAAGTATTTGATTAATAGCTCAAAACTATAATAGGGATATATTATTATATTTTATGTTGAGTAACAATATGTATTGTAATACATTATGTATTATATTTTCAATATACATTTTTAAAACAAACTAGGGTTCTTCGTCACCTTTATTTCTAAGCTTTTTAAATTATTTGTAATATCCCTCTCTATATTTAATATTAATAAATTGTGGGAAAATGTATTACTGCAGCATTGTTTAGAGCTAACTATATATTAATTGGGAATATATTGTTTGAAATATAACTAGAAAACAATCAAAAAATATAAGGCTTCGATATTTTGGAGGTACACAAATCCTCTTGGTGCCCTCTACTGTAGTATGAATCACTGTCTCGATAATGCCGGTCATCTTATTATACGAATATCTTTCCCATAATTATAATGACTTTCAAGTAATTTTCCTTTCGCCTGCAGGTCGCACTCAATGTTGGATCGAAATGTCACCATGGCAGTGGAAATTGTACATAAGCATAGTGGCTACAACAGTGTTCGTCGTGCCGGCAATAATCATCAGCGGATGTTACGCTATTATCGTGTACACGATTTGGTCCAAAAGCAAACTCCTGTCACCTGCCAAAAACAACACGTTACAACGTGGCGCCAAAAGTGAATTATTAAATATTAAAAATTATGATTACATTGGTACCAATGATAAACGTCTAATATTAATAATATGATCGTTAACCAAGGGTGCCAAAAGAGTGTCATGAAAGGATTGTAGTGATAGGAAGTGGCTTGATAGGGGAGAAATGTGGAAATCAGTATTTATATTTTTTGAATAAACTATTGCAGAAAAATAAAAGTTTTCAATTGATTTTTGATTTTTTTGTAAAAGTTTAAAATATTATTAGTGATTTCTATATCGTTGCACAATATCAATACATTTTTTTATGATTTTTAATTATATTTTCCATTTCTTTAAACTTAAAATATTACTCAAATTTTTACTATTTTCATTTTAAACACGCCATTGTCATTTACAGAACCCGAAGAACACGACATCAGAAGGTCCAGTTCACGGGGCATCATACCGAAAGCGAAAATCAAGACCGTAAAAATGACGTTTGTTATTGTATTTGGTTAGTACTACATTTTTCTTATAAATCTAACCTATTATTATTATCCGAGCCGGATTAACGTATAGGCAGTATAGGCAATTATCTATAACTCTAAATTTACCCCCACCCACCCACTCAAAAAAAATAAAATCGAAAATCCCCAAAATGATTGAATATTTTTCAAAGTATTAAATAAGTACCCATTTTGCAACAATGCAAAAAAATATTTAATCCCCCCCCCCCCCTAAAATTCAATCAAATATCTGCCCACGTAAAAAAAATAGTTAAAATGTGTCTATACTAAAACCAATAATCAATGTAATTACTTTAGTTAAAAAAAATTCTCAAATAATTTAACTGTTAATTTCAATTTTTTATAACTTTAAATTTAGATTTATTTAATATTTCTGGTGTCAATATAACTAGGAACATACCTACCGTATTATATTTCTGTCTAATTTATAAATAATTAATTTTAACAACGACGTTAAAATTAATATTTCAATAATTATTAATACATATATTCCTACCCGCCTAGTCAAATAATACACAATGTTCAAATCTCTTATAAGAACAGTACTGTGATGATTTTTTTTCTTGCGTCGTTTAGAATATCACGAGGCCACACAAACGGGGTATTTGCCCCTTTAACTCTAGTAGGTATACTTGATCTGGGATTTTCCGTCTGTATTACGAGTCATCGACTCTCAACTAATGAAATTTAAACTATAAATTATGTTCGAATTGTAGGCAATAATTGTATATATTTATATAAAACGCGAATCGTTTTCCTTTTCGTTTAAATGTTTACAGTATTCATCCTGTGCTGGAGTCCGTACATAGTGTTTGACCTGCTACAAGTGTACGGCTACATACCAAAAACGCAATCGAGCGTAGCACTCGCAACGTTCATACAGAGTCTGGCGCCGTTGAATTCCGCCGCCAACCCCATCATATACTGCTTGTTCTCTACTCACATTTGCAGATCTCTAAGGTATTAAACGTAACATAATATGCAAGTAATTCATATACTTACGTCTTAACAACAACAACAATAATAATAATAATAATATATTTCGTTAACGGTGCGCGGGCGATCCGACGATCCCGGGAGGGACGTCAAATTCGTACTCAAAACAACACCTACAATTAACCGATAAAATTATAATTAAGTTATGTTTGTAATAACCAAATTGTTTTAACTTATTTTTAAAATAATATACAACTTACTACTAACTATATACTACCAAGTACTTATATAGAACCGACTACCATAAATATATAAATGTATAATTATGATAATTGATAAATATAATACGTCGTATACCGTGTACCTACTCGTTTAGCATCAGTATAATATATTTGTATGTAATATTTTAAAAGCCAAATAAGCTAAACTAGAGAGCCTAGATAATATATAATATATTATTATCTAGGCTCTCTAAGCTAAACAATGTTTTTGAACTCATAAATAATGCATAGAAATAAAAATAGCAATTGCCAAGGATTATATCAATAATAATGTTGTCTCGGATTAACATCATGCTAAAAGAAATGTTTTTAAAGGTTCCTCGTAGAATTTCTAGATAATATCCAATGAATTTCTAGATCGAATATTACACATTAGATACCTCTATGCCTCTATATATAGTTAGGTAGTAGTCTTAAATTACATATTATTAAAACTAAATTAAAAAATTAACTACAAGTAAAAATAGGTGTGCGACTTAATTAAAATTAAAGTTAATTTCAATTTTTAAATCGTTATATTGACCAATAATTTTACATAAAATATTTATCAATACCTATCTTATAAAACAGAAAAATATTACACAACCCGTATCAGTATGAATTTCTCTGTTCCACCCCAACTCTTGGTTCCGAATTTATAAATATATATTATACACGCAATAAATGTACTTTTATTACCATTACAAATATAATTCCGCATTTCCACTTCGTCTTATTAGAAAAATTCTAAATACACTACTGATACGACTAATGCGTCTGAGCAATATATACTTATTTGAATTGTGCACGATATCGCGAAACCCGAAAATCGCATCATCGTTATTATCATATTATGGCTCCAATGTCTAGAAGAAATGATACGACCAAAATAAAAATTCAAATCTTTTTATTAAGTATACCTATAACTATAGTACATAATAAAATACAGTCTGATAAAAACGTTCTTTCGATATTGTTGAATATAATAAATTATATTATACGACGTATACTATAATGTACTTAATGCATTTTAAGTGAATATGCTCATCGTCATCATCCTTTTCACTACGTTTTATTTACTTACATAAAATATATACTACACACATTCAACGACGTCGATTCATCGATTCGGTTTTTGCGATTTGGAATTGGAACGATTCCGAATTTTCTTTGATATAAATTGTTGCGTAAAAAAAGTACTGATTCGTCTGTTTTCTTAAATTGTCGACAATTGCACCCTTTGACTCTATTCGAGATCTTTAGTTACATATACTCGATGTTTTAAGTTCAATGCAAACAATAACTTTATCAACTTTAATAGTTATAATTTATCAACTTAAACCCGTTAAAATCGAAAAAACCTACAACAGTGTGACAATGACTTAGTCGTGTTCTAACGCTCTTCAGGCATGGGCGTCCCTAGACATTTTTCTAGGGAGGGGAGCAAAATTAATTAAAAAATAAATGAAGATTTTTTTATACATTTTATTTATAGTAAGTACCTACCTACCTACGTCGTTATTACAACTAGGTATTATTATTATTATTATTATACATCTTATTTATAGAACAATATTATGTTTTGTCATTATTACCTACATTAAATTATTACAATTTGGTAACAAACTTAAAATACTAGGGGGAGACAAGTGCCCCGTCTTGCAACCCCCCCCCTGGGGACGCCTATATCTTCAAGTCAAATAATAGGTAGGCAAATTCATTACAATATTAAAAAAATAACATTTTTTTGTACTATCTGTGTGACTGTGTAATTAGCTCGGGTGTTTTTTTTTTATGATTCTAACGATTAATTTCGATTTAATTTCAATTATCAAAGTATTTATAAATTTTTATATTGTAAATATAATACCTTGTAGGTATTATGCCACATAAAAAAATAGAACCCTCTGTGTATCTGCCCAGCAATACCATCGCCGCGAACGTTATAGATGCCACGCCACATCCTGTCATGACATCGCTACAACATTTTGCGTTTTTCAAAATAATTTTCAGGCAAGTCCCGCCGTTCAGATGGTTGTTGTGTTGCCGGAACGGAACACAAGAGCAACTGAGCTACACGGAAACACTAACATCGTCTAATCGACAGGTGAACACGTCTCTACTGCGAAACGCCACCGTGCATGTGCACTCAGTGGTAAGGGCTCCCGTCTTGGACCGCATGGGCATTTCGACGGAGAAGAACAGCTATGCCGATTCGCTGCTTTAAAGACGGCCGGGACAGCGCGATCCGCGCACCCCATGCCGTATTACTCTAATACTATTATTATTATTTTAATGATTAATAATACAATATTTATGAATATATAATAAGAACATATTATTATAATAATTATTATTATTAATATTCTGCCCCCGTCCCTTTGTGCAAACGCGTTATTATTATAAGCTATACAACCATCATAATAATATGATAATATACATTTCTATAATTATTAAAACATTATTATTACATTATTATTATAAAAAATTACTATAACTACCTATTATTATTATTATTATTATTATTATTATTATTACTATAAATATTAACTATACGACCGTAAAAGTTAAGTTAAATTCTGTCGACTGACTTTGCCCCTAAAAATACAATATTATTATGTGTACAAACCTTCGATATATAATATAATCATAATTATTATGTATTCCTTATTGTTGCCTGGATTCCTATTCGTACTTATGTCTTTAACCAATATTATGTATATACTTTTTGTTTTAAACCATCGTTAATAAAATACAATAGCTTAATAACCACTTAACATGTATTTGTCTATAAAAATAATTGACCAAAAACAATTTCTACATAATAATAACTAGGCACAGTAAGCTCTAGTGTGTTTATATCCAACCTCCTTTGATTACCATACTTGAAGTAAGTACTTACAGCAGTGAGCACACAACAGTACTTGCGAGGCACTACAAACCCCGAGATTTTTATTAAACGCTTAAGCAATTCAATTTTGAAACCGATCTAAACACAACTTATGTACTAATATATACAAATAGATTGTAGTGGTATCGGCGAGTATAATTTATTCATTATAATATGTGTAATGATGTTCAGTCATTGATATCAGCGCCACTCTTCTTAGCTTTGATAATACCCTTCAGTTCATTTAGTCTTTCTTCTGTATTATCATAGTTGTGTCTGCAAATAACCCTATCAACAATTTTTCAATAAATATAATTTAGTTAAAAATTTACATATTAAATAATATTAGTAATAAACTAATAAATATACAATTTTAAGTACTTTTATATTATAATCAGTTGCTACAAGTATATTTTCTTTTTTATTATTAAAGCTATGTTATTATGGCATTATAGTCTTCATTTGAGTTAACAACAATATATAGTTTTCATTTATTTTGTAGAAATGCTCAAAAGTGAAAAATAAAATAGGTACTTAATATGCATATTATTTAGTATTAATAATGAATATGATACTTTATATTGTATAAATAAATATAAAAGATTTTTTTATGAATATCTAACTTTTCATAAATGGAGAGAAAGTGAAGTTTCTACAATCCCCATCATTTGAAATAATAAAGAAATCATTGGAAGCTCTACATGCATGCATAATATATAATACTTACTATATAGTTTTCAATAAATATAGATTACACATTTATATTTTTACTAAAATAAATAATGATTTTGAGTTGGGAAATCGTTAAATTTTGATTATAAAGTATGTATAAATAGTATATTTAATCAATAGTGAACATTTTGAAACGCATAATTTATTACAAGCAATAGACTAAAAAAAATTATTTAAATATAACTTAAATTTGATACTACACTAATATATAGTTTTTACATGGAACACTCATATTATGGAACTTAATAATTAATTACTATACCATTTCCATTTCATGTTCAATCTTGTTATTTAAGTAAGTACCATTATATTATAATATTATTTATAATAAGTCTATTAAAATTATATATAACCATATTGCCAAGTTCCTATTTTTCTCTAAGTGATTGATGTAACTAAAATAAGATGAATCAGTTATAATCAAGAAAAATAATTGGTTTATCATTTCTGTAAGCATTCTTTAAGTTAAGCATAAGTCTTTGTTTCTAAAGTTTTTAAAGGAATGTAGGGTGGGTGGGTAATGGCCAATGTATAATATAATATTAACTAGTATAATTACAACAAATAGTAAATGGTTTTATCAGATTTTAAGTGATCGGGTGAAAGGATATAATATTATACCAGTAGTCAGCAATAGGCGGCCTGCGAAGGAAAAATAATTGGACCACAAAAAATATATTTTTTAATAATGCTGGTTTTCCACACATAATAAATATTTTATCTATTTTATGATGTATTTAGAGATTACGATGGAGTTTATCATTTATAGCTATTTAAAATAATAGTTGTGATAACACAACAATTATTAACTAATATCTGAGTTTTTAGTTTTTACTGGCCCTCAAAATTTTTTTTTTTTGATTTTCTGGACCTCCGTAGAATTTAATTTCTGACCCCTGTGTTAGACCATCACTACATCATCTGTTAGAATCTTGGCAGTAATGAAAGAATTTTACTAATAATTTTATGTTAACTACTGTATTTACTATAAGTAAGTATTTGTCAGTATTAATACAAAATTACTAAATAAACAAGTATTATAAAAATTTAGAATAAAAGATAAATAAGCAAATCTTATTAAATCTATACTTGGATAATTTGATTTAATTTAAAAAAAAAAAATTAAATACTTAATTCAAACAATGAAAAGTATTGCAATACCTATAAAGATAGATATTATACTTAAACCATAGAAACTGACATGTCCCCAAGTTACATAATATTAATTTAGTTATATACTTGATCAACAATTAACACTCATGCAATATATTATGTAGGTATATTTACCAATAGAAAGAAGATATTGTAACAAAAGAACCAAATCCAAAGTGTGTAGATCGTAATGTTCTACTTGTACACAAAAAAAAACCGATTCCCATTGTAAATCCTCCGACTATGCCATATAAGAAACTGTTACGAAAACACGGAATTTTTGAGACATCTTTACCCAAAAACATCAAAGGCTAAAAAAATAAGAATTTTACATTAACCTCCAACTAAGATATACAACATAATAAGGTATATTTTAGTCTATGCCACTAACCCATATGATAGGTTTATAACATTACTGTGAAAAATTAATGACACGTTTTTTTTTCAAACAACAATTATTAACTTATTGAAATTAACATACATAAATTAAATATTACATTTTTACCTTGTGATCTTCATCACTCGAAATCGACGCCATTGGTAATTGGATATAATATTTTACAGTTCTCTCAGCCTGCAATTGTTATTTCTAAGTTTGTTACCTAAGAACAAAAAATTAAATACTTCTGCTACTTCACCTTTGCAATTTACACCGGCAAGTGGTTTAAGGTTTTCCTCGGCTATTTTTTTATTTTAATCGTGAGAAACATGATAACACATTAACATATAATAATATTAAAGGTAGATAATACAACTGTTATCTACAGTCATGATCTCTGATAATATTATCAAAAACCTTATAGTATAAATTTTTCTATTTTTTTTTTTTTTTTTTTATTGCTCATTTAATAAAATTATTTCAATTAATTGACCACTTATACGAGTAGGTGCAACTAATACATGTAAAAATATTATATCTACTAATTTTCTAAACGACTTTTCATTAAACAATATTAAGTGTTTTGTAGCAATTTAAAAAATATTAACTACAGAGAAACTTTAAACATTCAGCTCTTACTACCTATTAATTCATAATTTTCAGTACTCAATAAAATTTTAATCAATAGATTATTAGTAAAATTATGCCTCTATTTTAGTTATGAAAACCAAACAATTATTATTATTACTTTATTTAGCCAATAATTATAAACATAAATTTACATTTAATTTTTAGAACCAATAATTTTAAATTTTTAAAATATAACGCATGTCAGTTTAGACAATATGTAAAATTTTACCCCAGAGACACCATCTATCATTTCAGTTTTCAGTTACCTACTCTCATAAGCCCTACTTAAACACAAAAACAATACAAAAAGAATTCAATTATTCCATTTCAAAGTAATTTATTTGAACAAATAAAAATAACCAAGAAATAACATTTAGTACAGGTATAAACATTATAATGTTGATTTTTCTCGATGTTAAATTATTAAATGACGAGAAAAAACTAGAATTTTATCTTAACAGGCCTTCAACATATTTTAACCTATTAAACTACTAGCAAATTTTACACGTATCTTAGCAGAACTTAACTGATTATATGTAAAAAAATAAATATGTTTAATAGTATAGGTATTACATTAAAACCTATTGGTTAACATATTACAATTTTATATTTGCTTATTAGTCATGAACTAACCTGTCCTTTTATGTTTTTTTTTTTTTTGTAGAATTCTGAAAAACAAATGATTTAATCATAATTCATGATTAGCAGCGTTGTCATTTGTTAATACGTATCAAGACATAATGTGTATTAAATTTATGTACGAGTATATTGAACCTTTTTTTTTGCCATTTAAAGCAAAAATTTTAGGTCTAGATTTTCAGTATTATTAGAACTTACTTATACATTACTTTTGGCATGTTAGATATTTACATGATTCGTCAAACGCAACACATATAATGACCATATCTAACAATCACTAGTTAACCTACTAATAAACCTATAATATATAATATTTAAAATGATTATAAATATAAGCCTACCAAGAAATGACATAACACTATTATCCATTAGTAAAAAATACTTGTGCAACCGTGTATAAATAAAAATACTATACTACTAAAGTAAACAATATATTTTAGAAAACAAAAACCTAACAAGTAGTTTATTTCCATTAAACACATTTATACAGGGCAAAAGGATAACTAAAGGTAAAAAGTTGAATCCTCAAAATAAAAGATTTTTTTCAAAGTATAATTTTATTACAAATCAAGTAAATGGTTTGTAATAACAATGTATTATACATATAAACGGTATAATTTATATTGTAATTGTTACAGAAAAATGATCTAAATGGCGAAAACTGGCAGCATTAAAAAAAAAAACAATAAATTTAAATTGTGATACAACATGCTTACATGTCATTCAAGATGCACTAGGTCATTCGGTTTTTGATGTTTGCCGTTTAACAAATAGTATTTACATAACTCTACTTAATTTATTCGCTGAAACACGAACAATAATGTTTATTTTTAAAGAATACAAAATGTTTACGAGGATAACTTGTGTGAATGGAATTTAGTATCATTTATACAAATTATGTATTTTTGGCCAAAGTTTCAGCTTTAGCAACTACTTCTTCAATGGGTCCAACCATGTAGAATGCAATTTCTGGCAAATGATCATATTCACCAGCTAAAATTTTGGAGAAGCCCTAGAATTGAGAAGAAAATTAGTATGATTAAAAAACTAGTTAAAAAACAAACTATAAATTATCTTTAATTACTTTGATTGTTTCTTCAAGAGGTACTAATTTTCCTGGATGTCCAGTAAACACCTCAGCTACTTGGAAAGGTTGGGACAAGAACCTCTGGATTTTCCTAGCCCTAGCGACGGTCAATTTATCTTCTTCCGAAAGTTCATCCATACCCAAAATAGCAATGATATCTTGAAGTGATTTATAGTCTTGTAAGATTTTTTGCACACCACGAGCAACGTTGTAATGTTCATCACCAATAACATTAGGGTCCATAATACGAGATGTAGAATCCAATGGATCCACAGCTGGGTAGATACCCAATTCAGCAATAGCACGAGACAATACAGTGGTAGCATCTAAATGGGCAAAAGTTGTAGCTGGAGCAGGATCAGTTAAATCATCAGCAGGTACGTAAATAGCCTGCAAATATTATCTGTTAAATAATAATCACAATTAAATACATACAAAACTTTTTACCTGTACTGAAGTAATAGATCCTTTGCTGGTTGTAGTAATTCTTTCCTGCATAGTACCCATGTCAGTGGCCAAAGTTGGTTGATAACCTACAGCAGATGGGATACGACCCAACAAAGCAGATACTTCAGAACCGGCTTGAGTGAAACGGAAAATGTTGTCAATGAAAAGCAATACATCTTGTCCTTCTTGATCTCTGAAGTATTCAGCAACAGTAAGGCCAGTAAGAGCAACACGAGCACGAGCACCGGGAGGTTCATTCATCTGACCGTATACTAACGCTACCTATAATAAGATAATTATTTAAATGTACATTACACCTTTGATAATTTCAATAATATACCTTTGAGGTCTTGTCCTTGAGGGAAATTACACCGGATTCAATCATTTCATGGTACAAGTCATTACCTTCACGTGTTCTTTCTCCAACACCAGCGAATACTGAGTAACCACCATGAGCCTTAGCAACGTTGTTAATCAGTTCCATAATCAATACAGTTTTTCCTACTCCAGCACCTCCGAACAAACCTATGTACACAATCATATTAATAAAAATAAATTTCATTAAGCAACTAATTTAATCATTACCAATTTTTCCTCCCTTTACATATGGAGCCAATAAATCTACAACTTTAATTCCAGTGACCAAAATTTCCTGTTCAACACTCATTTCAACAAAAGGAGGTGCTTCTGCATGAATGGGTGCGGTCTTATCAGTAGCGATGGGACCCCTCTCATCAATTGGTTCACCTTAAATACAAATAATTATTTATATGGTAAAAATACTATATTTGATAATTATTTTAAATTGTACTTCAATGAAATAGAAATATTTACCAATGACGTTGATAATACGACCTAAAGTTTCAGCGCCAACTGGAATTCTGATGGGAGATCCACAGTCGAGTACTTCTTGTCCTCTAACAAGACCTTCAGTACCATCCATAGCAATAGTTCTGACAGTATTTTCACCTATATTAGAATAATAAATTTGTAAATATTTTATACTGTTAATTATTAAATAATAATCATAAAATATGATTACCCAAATGCTGGGCAACTTCAAGTACAAGACGTGGAGATCTATTTTGTACTTCAAGAGCATTGAGGATGGGGGGTAATTCTTCATCAAATTGCACATCAACAACGGCACCGATAACAGCAACAATACGTCCTTGTGATGTACCTGCTTTTGGTTTAACAGCAGCCTTGTTGTTGGCTAAATTAAAAAAATCATATTTATCAATAAGTTTTCACATAAAATAAATGAAAGTTTGTGATATTGTAAAATATGTAAGAGATACCTAGTATTTTTAGTGCAAATATTTTTTTTCACAGAACAGGTAACAAAATAATTATTAAAAACTTAACATAAATATTTTAATTTTAAAAATAAGAATTTAATTTGGAAAACAATTTTATTTTAAGTTGTTTATATAAGTTTTAATCTACCTAATAAGAATATAATAATTTGTATCATACAATAAGTAAAAAAAAATAATAATTAGGAATTTGATAAAATTAATACATGGTAATTTATTATTAAGAAATTATTATTCATAATAATTGTTAGATACTGCCAAATAAAACAAATTAGAATTAATCTATTTTGATTAAGACTTCACCATTTTATAAGAAATGGCTTATAAAATATTAATAAATATGTAAATTTGGGTAGAAATAACATTTATTTGTAAAACAGTTATCAATCTGTAACTATATAAAATTTTAATAGAAAGTTAAAATGTTAATTAAATAAAGAATGCTTTATCTAATTTAATAACTAGGTGGTACAAACTATTCAAATGAGTTTGAATCTTTTAGTAATTAGCGATCAGTAAAATTATTATTATTATATTCTGTAATTTTAATAAAACATAGATGGATTAATTAGGACGATATAGGTCATAGGAATATATAATAAAAACAGATCGTCAGACATTTATAACTTAACATTGTTCAAAGGAAAACCATCCAAGGTCAAAAAAGGTCATTTGTAGACTTTTTATTGAAACGGAATTTTAACGTGAAAAACAAGAAAGTCTTAAACGAAACTCTTTCCGTTTTCAATCCGTGTCCCAAGTCCAACTAAATCCTCAATAACTATAACCCCAAAACAATTAAGGCGGCAGCGGCGGCCGGTATGGCCATTACAAGGTACAGATCTACAGATCTACGTACACGCCGAAAACCAAAACGGCCCCGATCAACTGCGTTAAAAGGCCAATAGCGAATTTTCGACAGAAAATTTCAGATACCAAACCAAAAAATAGACAAGACAGCCGAGTTCTTCCCGGAACCTGTGACTAGTAAGATAAGAGAAAACGGGACGTCATACTCACAGGTGGACGTGGTGGCGACCATAGCTTTAGGTAGTTCATTTTGCACGATTTTCGGTGTTAGGTTGCTTTTGCCGGCCTTCAGGGCCCCAATAGCCGCCCTGGACAACGCGTTCAACATGATTAGTTTTCTTGTAAATAACTATATTGCACGCAAACGAACTGAGCGAAAGGCCGAAGTAAAATGTG